GGGCGGGCCCTGGAGTCTTCTGGAAGGAAAAGGTTAACAGCTCTGCCTCTCCCTGGGATTTAACCGGGGTGCCCTGCCTTGTGCATGGGTTGGGGCTCCCGAGGAGATCCAGGAACAGACAAAAGAAAGAGTCCCAGGAAGGGAAGTAGCTATGGGGATTTATGGGGGTCCCACTGCATAGACATAGTTGAGTAACTCAGTGGCCAATGGTGATTAATTCAGCCTCCAGCCCCTGTTCCCACCTTAAAAGGCAGGGATTCAGCTGAAACTCCCAACCCTCTCACCTGGCCATGGTCTCCCGGCCTCCGGATTCATCCTGAAGACACCTCCCTCTCCCCACTTCAGTTCATGTCATTAACATACAAAGGCATTCTTATCACCGGAAATACCAGGAGCCGGAGCCAGGGATGCAGACCTCATATTGATTTTTTTAAAAATATATTTTATTGATTTTGTACAGAGAGGAAGGGAGAGAGATAGAGAGCTAGAAACATCGATGAGAGAGAGTCATCGACCAGCTGCCTCTTGCACACCCCCTGCTGGGGATATGCCCGCAACCAAGGCACATGCCCCTGACCGGAATCGAACCCGGGACCTCTCAGTCCCCAAGCGGACGCTCTATCCATTAAGCCAAACCGGTCTTGGCATATTGATTTTTTATTATATCACAGGTACACTCACACCACAATCCAGTTTTAGGGCTTTTCTGTCACCCCAGTAAGATTTCTTGTGCCTGTTTACAGTTAACCCCCATTTCCACCCCAACCTCTAGGCAACCCCTAATCTGCTTTCTGTCTCTAGGATGTTGCCTTTCCTAGATGTCTCCTATAGATGGATTCATACAAAAGCTAGTCTTTTGTGTCTGGCACCTTTCACTTAGCACAATATTTTTGAGATTATTCTGTGTTTGAGTGCAGTTCATTTCTTTTAGGGCTTAGTCATATTTCATTGCATTTTGTTTATTCCTTCATCAGTTGATTGCTATTTGGGTATTTCCACTTTTTGGTTTTTATGAATAATGTTACTAGGATATCTGTAATGTCAAAAAAAACATAATTATTTTTTAAATAATCATCTGTATAGCTCTAGCTGATTTGGCTCAGTGGATAGAATATTGGCCTGTGGATTGAAGGGTCCCGGGTTTGATTCTGGTCAAGGGCACATGTCTGGGTTGCAGTCTCAATCCCAAGTAGGGGGCATGTAGGAGGCAGCCAATCAATCATTTCTCCCTCTCCCTTCCTCTCTGAAATCAATAAAAATATATTTAAAAAAATCTGTGTGCATGAGTCAGTATGAAGGAGGAGAGGTCCAGTATAAAAGTGGTATTTGAGGAAATGATTCACTCATTTTCACTTTAAGATTTTAAAAGTTAGACCATGTTTACTTACATTTCTGTATGACACATCACACATACACCCACCTGGTTAGATCTGAGGTGTCCTGCTCAGAGAAACCAAGGCTTCCCTCCAGCGGTATTGTGAAACCAAGGACAAGCAAGGCTAGGAATGAGAAATAATCCATTTAGCAAACTAGCTTATGTAAGCCTCCAAAGCTAGAAACAAAGAAACTGGATAACTGAACTCACAGGACCTTTGAGTTCAAAACAGAAACCTTTAGTCCAGCTCTTTTCTATTGCATATATGTGTGTTTTTACATAGAATCTTTTCATCTTATTTCAGGAGTTTGAAATGAACGTACTGAAGATTTACCTAAAAATCACCAGGTATATTTAATGGGGAAAACCCCCCCAAAAGTAAGCCTACAAAAGGGTTGTATTGGCCCAGCTGGTATGGCTCATTGGTTGAGCATCAACCCATGAACCAGGAGGTCACAGTTCGATTTCTGGTCAGGGCACATGCCTGGGTTTTGGGCTCAGTCCTATTGAGGGGTTGTGCAAGAGGCAGCCAATCAATGATTCTCTCTCATCATTTTTGTTTTTACTTCTCTCCTCTCCCTTTCTCTCTCTGAAGTCAATACACACATTTTTTAAAGGGCTATGTTGGAAGTAGTATTTGGGGCGGGGCTTTGGAGAGAGAGACAGAGAGAGGGTGGATAGTGACAGATTCTGCCTGCCTTATTTTGGAAGTAGCAACCAATCTCCTTGCATGGGACCTCCTCTCCATCTTTCATGGTCCATGTGGCCTGGATGTGGCTAATGCTCCCCTCTAGCTCCAAGGTGGGCATCTTATCCAGGTGGATCAGATGTGCTGGCCATGGCAATTGGCTCAGAGATTGGCATGTGATTTCAGTTAGCTGGCCTGAAGTTTGCTTTCTTCTTTTCGGGTGATGGGCATGGGCAGGGAACTGTTGGAAATGAGCAGCTGTTTCCTGCTGGAGCTGGTGAGCTGGTGGGAGTCTCATGCGATTGGTCCACCATGTGAAAAAAACCTGTCCAGGAAAGAATCCAAAGGAACCCGGCAGTGTGGCCAATGCTGAGCATCAGACCATGTGCCAAGACATTGCCAGGTTGATTCCACGTCAGGGCACATGACTGGGTTGCAGCTCTATCCTCAGCAGGAAACATGCAGGAGAAAAGGCAGAGGGAGCAGCACCCTTTCTTGTGTGTCCAGACGAACAGCATGGCCAAAAGCAGAATTTGTGAGCACTTTTCTGTATGATTATTCCACTCCCATTGAAAAGCACACGCATAACAAAGCTCAGTGGATTCTGACAAGCGGGCTGAAAAATGGAATGCTTTCAACTCCCCGGAGAGCCCCGCTCATGCCACAAAGAATTTGATTAGGAAAGGAAATCCCAGTGTAGCGGCTGCTAAGTTTCTACTTGGTTTGTGAGAATATACATTCATCAGGCAGCGGCAGACACTTGGGATTCAGACCAGGTCTGTCTGACCTCAGAGACCGGCAAGCAACATCAGACAGGAACTCTAAAAATTAGGGTTTTTCTTATGCTTCTGTATACTTACTCCTGTGTCAGAGGCCCCTGTTTGCCTTTGTTGAATACAATTTCAACTCCTTATCAGGCCCTATAAGGCCCTATGATCTGATCTCCTCTGGTAAGTCCTCAACACACTGCCCCTTCCCTGTACTCCTTCCCCAACCTGGACTCAAACCCACCACACTCATTCCTGCCCCAGGGCCTTTGCACCTGCTGTTTCCTCTGCCTGAAGGCTCTTCCCCATATCTTCCTGTGATTGGCATCTTGCTATCATTCAAGCTCCAGCCCAATCCTCACTGACTACTCTTTCTAAAGAAAATGCCAGTCACTCACATGAAGAAAGCCCTCTACCACCGCTCTGTAGAAAAACAGCATAATTAAGCTCAAAAGTTCAATTTCAGTAAGGACAACAGGCAGAGATTTCTAGGGACCCAGGACATCAACCACTACAGCGCATGTGCCTGGGGATAAGACGTGAGGCGTGAATGTGACCTAACAAATGAATTAAAGTCCCGATGTGCTTTTATTTATAACAGTGAAGCGTTTCAAATCTGACTGTCCTGTTTAAAACATCCGGTGGACAGTGGTGGCGGAGGAGGCAGTGAAGCCCCACAGGCAGGGCTGTCCACCTCAGGCAGATGCCTTCCCAGGGCTGCCCACAGCCTTCGCAAGAGTATGTTCCCAAGTCAGGTGACTAATTGTGCTTTGTGGGTTTTTAAAAAAATATATATTTTATTGATTTTTTACAGAGAGGAAGAGAGAGGTATACAGAGTTAGAAACATTGATGAGAGAGAATCATCCATCAGCTGCCTCTTGCACCCCCCACACTGGGAATATGCCCACAATCAAGGCACATGCCCTTGACTGGAATCAAACCTGGGACCCTTCAGTCCACAGGCCGATGCTCTATCTATTGAGCCAAACCAGTTTTGGCTTCGTGGTTTTTATGAGGTCTCTATGGAAACTCTTAGAAACATCTGGACTGGTGAGCTGTGGAATTGTGCACCGAGTCTCCCTCCCTGGTAGCCCTTGCCTCTGCTGGCCCTGGGTCTTTGCTGAACTATGCAGACTGCTCCCAGGGGCGGTGCCTGGGCAATGGGGTTGGAGTGGGGTCTGAGTCTGCTTCTTCGCTGGGAGATGAGTTTTCCTAGACAAGTTCTTAGCCCCTCTGAGTTGCAGAGGTCTCATCTGTGACATAAAGGGGTACTGGTGCCCGCCTCAGGGGTTCCTGCAAGGCTCAGAAACATGTGCCCCCCAGGTAGCCAGCACAGTTCCCAGCCTGGGGCCAGTACTCCACACTGTCAAGCTGTTTTGAAAGCCCTCTATGCCCTGTCTATTTAAAAGGCGGGCCCAGAGGCAGTCACGCCCCTGGGGGGGATCCTCATCTTCGGAAATGCAGAACCGGAGGTTCTACTCCAGACCGGCTGAGTCAGTTTTTGCCCTCGAGCAAGAACCTGGGTGAGTTTGTGGGAAGTTTCCCATGGGCTGCTCTCCAAGCTAGCATGTGTGGAGGAAGGAGCGTGGGGCCTGTTTTCATTATGGAAACCTGTCAGCAGCACCACTTGGTGCAGACTCCAGCCACAGGACACCAATGACCCAAACTAGCTGGATGTTCATGGCCCACCATGCACCTCCCCTCCGTCCCCCCATCCCACCCCAGGACTCAGTTTCTTTACTTGTCTTAGAGGTTTGCTGAGAGAATAAATGAAATCATGTGAAAGCTGATATCCAGGAGTGAAAAGTTCCTTTCCTCCTGTTTGCCTGGAAAAGGACGCCGTGGTTCCTGTGGCTGTTCACACAGGCTTCAGAGAGCCTGACTCCATTGCCCACAGTGGCTCACCGAGTGGCAGCGGACACGACCTGCTATTTGGTGTCTCGATTAAAATAATGGAGAGGGACAGTGTCCCAGGAACTACAGCCTGGTGTTCTCGGAACCTAAATGGGAGAGTTTTGTAGTTTGGCTAAAAGGCACTGCCCTAGAAAAGACGTGTGCTGTGGCAATGGATGCTTCTGTCACTTACAAAACAGCCAGGATTACCGTGTAACGGACTGTGTGCAGAAGCCACTAGGTTGCTTCCCTTTAATGTCACACGTTTAGCAGCCACAAAAGCCTTTTATTTATTTCCAAACATCACAAAGCAAGAAACACAAGACATTGTTTATATTAGCAGCATGTCAAGTACACTGAAACCCTCATACATTACAGCACAGGAAAAACACACAGTTGTACTCCGGAGACACTGGGCATGGGGATGGAGTTCTCTGGGCAGGAAAGGGTCTGACCGAGGTGCAGAGCACAGCTCATGCAGCAGCATATGCAGTGCTAGTCAGCAAATCTCACCCCTTGCTCTCAGGAATGAATTGAATGCATTGCCTAACTTGATAAGGTAAACAGATGTTGATAACAGGATCACCCCAACTTTAACACCACCAGACTGAGCACAAGTTTTCTTCCCTAGATAACATTTCAGAAAATCGTGTGATTGAGACACAGTCACAATGACCACAAGCAAAGCTTCCAAAAACGTCACATGCAACTTCTCAAACCTGACATCACCATAGAGCCATCACTGGAGACACACCCCCTCCCATCCACGATGCCCTCTTGTTTAAAGGCAGAAAAGAAATAATAGGGAAAAGGCTTATAAAATAGGGACACATATACCTTAGAAGAGCAAGCATCAAAATACTTTACACACAGGCATGTTCTGGTTTTCCAAAGTACTTGATCTCTTTCTCATTAGAATTTTGAAAGCTGCCTTAGGTTGAATGCATAAAACCCAACAACAAAAGCAACAACTCTAGTAACAAAAATAGGGGCATCCTGGGTAACGTTTCAATGCTGGTTTTCAGGAGAGGCTGGTGAGGGTAGGAGGGTAAAGAGGGCGCTGGGCTGCATCACTTCTTTCACAAAGAGTCCATTGTTGTGGGGCAACTGTTGCACTGTAAGCAGAATAACAGGATGGAAACTCAAGTGTCTTATGAAATCAGGGCAAAGCCATGGGAGCAGCTGGCAGCCGAGGTCGGGCGTGGTAAGAGGTTTGCTCCGGAGAGCTTCGACCCACCCTCCTGTCACTGAGAATCCTTCAGTCTGGATGACCCGAGGGGCAAGGACATGCCGGGAGGCGGGTGGGCAGGCAGCCGGAGCCGCCTCACGGACTCCTTCCTCCCGTGGCTGTTGGGGAATCAGAGTCTGAGACTTACCCACGTTGGGATCCTTTCAGAGAGCCGGTGACATCCCATTTCCCTGTCCAAGGCCCTGCCAGCTTCCAAACAAGATGCACACAGCCATGGCTGTTCACACACTCTGGATTCCCGCCTCTTCTTTCCAAACACCTCAGCTGGCCGGAGGGACCGGCCTCGGGCCCGCGTCCTAGCCGGGGCTCACGCTGCCGGGGCAGCCGCACAGGATTTCGCGGAAGGTGCTCCTGAGCTCGGGGCTGCGGAAGGCGTAGATGAGCGGGTCGATGACGGAGTTGCACATGATGAGCACCAGGTAGGTGTTGAAGTGCGCGGCGTAGCAGACGCAGGAGGGGTTGGTGGGGCAGGTGATGATGAGCACGAGATGCAGGAAGAAGGGCGCCCAGCAGACCACGAAGACGCCCAGCAGGATGCTGATGGTGATGGCGCCCTTGAGGCACGAGTGCTGCTGCTGCTGTTGCTGCTGCTGCGGGGCTGCCCCGTCGGCGGCGGCGGGCAACGCGGCGATACGCCGCAGGTGCAGCCGCGCGAACAGGAACATGTGCACGTACAGGGTGCCCATGAGCAGCAGCATGGCGAAGAACAGCGTGACCAGGCACACGATGACTGTCTTGCTCTCGGAGTAGACGATGAAGACCACGCCGCACACGCCGCAGCACAGCCACACTACCGCGATGAGGCCGCGCGCCCGGCGCGCCGTCACGATGCTGTGGTAGCGCAGTGCGTAGAAGATGGTGACGTAGCGGTCCACGGCGATGGCCAGCAGGTTGCAGATGGAGGCCACCAGCGAGATGCAGATCATCGAGTCGAAGACGTTGTCCATGTGCTGCACGAAGCGGTCCCCCAGGGCCAGCGCGCCGCTGTCGACCACGGCGATCATGATGGTCTCCAGGGCGTTGGACACGCTCACCAGCATGTCGGCGGCGGCCAGGCTGCAGAGGAAGAAGTACATGGGCGAGTGCAGGTTGCTGTTCCTGGCCACGGCCAGGATGACCAGGATGTTCTCCAGCAGGCTGACGGTGCCCAGCGCCAGGAACACGCCCGGCTGGATGAAGACCTGCTCGCAGTACCCGTGGCTGCTCTGGTTGCCCGCGGAGGAGGAGGAAGAGGAGGAGGTGGCGGCCAGGCGCTCCAGGCCGTCGGGCAGCCCCGGCTGAGCGGAGGGCGGGCAGCACGAGGCGTTCATCACGGACACGGGCTGCCACAGAGCTGGGCTGCGGCTGGTGCACAGGCTGCTGCTGCTGCTGCTGCTGCTGCTGCTGCTGCTGCTGCTGCTCACGGGAGGCAAGAGTTTCCTCCGGTGGCTGAGGGATGCTGGCCCTGAGCAGACTCAGGGAAGAATGGAGAACGAGTGAGCTGGGAGACGCAGGGAACTTTCCTGCTGCTCCAGGGCGAGCAGTGTTATGCAGACTCTTCTGCCACCTCCCTCCTTTCCCCTCCTCACTCCATCGCCGTCCCCACTTGGGAAGAGAGAACCTGCCACCGGTTGCTACAGTTACGGCTCCTCTCCTGGCAAGACAGGGGAATGTAGTACCTGCTGTTGGGAGTGAGGAGGGAACACTCACTTTCCGCACATTGGCTGGTGGCAAACAACTCCTACTCAGTCCTCAGCGCAGCGAAATGACCACTGAGCACCCGGAGCTCTGTGACTGACAGCAGGTAGGCTCCCAGGGCTTGGGCAGGGGCTCGGAAAGCTGGCTGGTGCCCCCTGCTGGCCAGAATGCGCATCTGTTTGCTGGCTTTTCTGAGCCTTTTATTTGTCCTGGGACTGCCATAGGACAAGTACAATTCATCCATGTACTTGTCCATTCATTCATTTTTTAAGTAAACATTTACTGTACACCTACTATGGGTCAGGTCTCTGCTGCTGGGCGCCCAAGTTTATGGTGAGCAAGAGAGACATGCTCTTCCCGTTTCCCCCCAAACTTGGAGTCTGGGTTGGGAGACCAGAAATTAGGGAATTAAGTCCTTGGGATAAACGTTTGAGTGGGGAGGATCAGGGGGATGCTGGCGGATAGAGCCGGGGCCCTAACCTGGATGGCGGAGGAAAGTTCCCAGGAAAGAATGTCTAAGCCTGGACTCGAAGGAAGAAGAGGCGATGTGGGGCGGGGAGGTGGGATTGGGGTTGGAGGAGGGTCCAGCTGGAAGAATGCCCAGCATTCGGAGGGAAGGGCAGTGGATCCTCACGCTGGCGTGGGAACCATCCAGAGGATGTGGGTGCAGAGGTCTCACCCTGCCTCTGAGTGAGAGTCACCCAGGGCTAAGGCCTGGGCATAGGTGGGTGATTTTGAGAGGTAGCCAGGGTTTCCGTCAGCTGAAAAGGAAACTTAGTGTTTTTGAAGAACTGACAGTTGTTTGCTCTGCCTGGAGCAAGGAGCTGGAGGGGGGGAAGAAGCGGGGAGACATAATCTGAGAAATGAGGCTGTAAAAGTTATTTATTTATTATTTAAAAATATATTTTATTGATTTTTTACAGAGAGGGAGAGAGAGAAAGAGAGAGTTAGAAACATCGATGAGAGAGAAACATCGATCAGCTGCCTCCTTCACACCCCCTGCTGGGGATGTGCCCACAACCAAGGTACATGCCCTTGACTGGAATTGAACCTTAAACCTTTCAGTCCGCAGGCTGAGGCTCTATCCAATGAGCCAAACCAGTTTCAGCAAGTTTTTTATTTTATTTTATTTTATTTTAAAGGTGAGACGTGCCCTTTTAAAAAGGATGATTTCAGCCTTGTTTGGGAGTTTGAAAGTGGTGGGGGCTGTGGAAGGAAGGATTCTAGGTAGAGCAGGGATGGGGTGGGTCTGCATTTAGGATGATTTCTGGCTGCAGAGTGGAGGCTGGCTAGGAACGGGAGGAGTGAGGAGCTAGGCAGGACAGGGCTGCAAAGATCCAGATGGTGGCTGGAAGCAAGGAGGAGGCCCTGGCGTCCTGGGAGGAGTGGGCAGAGAATGTGGGAGGGAGGACCTTGGCGGATCCAGAGTGCTTGGGTATAGGACTGTGGGAAAGGAAGTGGGTGGGAGCACCCACCTCCTTCTTAAGTAACAGGGAGGATGGAGATGCCCTGGGTGCTGAAAACTGTAAAAGGCAGATTTTAGCAGTTGACTTTAATACATGGTTCATGTCAGGCTTGATGATGCACAGAAGGATTGTGCAAAGTCTGGAAACACTGAGTCCACGTGTGTGTGTGTGTGTGTGTGTGTGTGTGTGTGTGTGTTTGTGTGTGTGTATGAGACAGGAGAAATATGCATATGGAAATATAAAATTTGGAATATTTATAAAACTTTGGAGTGGAGAGATCTTAGTAAGATGGGCAATCCCAAATTTAGTATGAACAAGAGGACCATAAGCCAAGTCAGAGACAAACAGGAAGAAAACTTTTGCCATAGGCAAAAGTTACTGTCTCAAATAGAAACAATACTTGCACATTAATAAGAAAAAGAAGAATTAGCTCTTAGAAAACTGGGCAAAAGATACGAAAGGAAATTCACTGAACAAGAAATGCAAATGCCTAATAAACATATGAAAAGATGTTCAGCCATCTGGGGAGTCTAGGAAATGAAAATCAAACCGAGACTTCATTACCGTTTTCCCAGTTGGAGTGACAAGAATTAAAAAGATGTCAAACTCAGGAGAGAACATTGGGGAAAGAGCTCTCAGGCATACCTGTTGTTTGTGAATAGCTTCACCATTTGCCAGTGTCTACCAATGTAAAAATCAGGCTAGGTGTGGATCTCAGTCTATAAACTGAAGGGTGTGAGAAATACCACTTCTATTTATTTTTAGCAGAGCAGCGTCTGATGTTAAACCAACTCATCTTTCAGGCTGGGGAAAAACAATATCTCAATCCTTTTGAGGCTTCCCCTCCCCCCTCACCTTCAGGGTCACTTCCCCTCCCCCCTCACCTTCAGGGTCACCTCCAGGTGTCTTTATAGTGTCTTGGTTCGAGGTTTCAGGGGCACTGGTCTCACCTGAACCACAAGGACTGCTTGGTGCTTTCCCTGCCCTGGGCCTTGGACACCTTTTTCTGCCTCCACTCTGATTCTCTGCCTCCTGCACAGAGAGCAGTGGGACCTGGCACTTCAACTCCTCATCCTAAGAGTACTCTCCTTGCTAATGAGTGTCAATTTGATCTTCTCTAAACTCTCCTTCTACTTACCTGGGGGAGACATGCAGATGCAGAATGACTTCCTGATGGAATCTTCTATAAACCAATTGGCTTTACTAGTATTGATTTATTTTTAAAAAAATATTCTTATTGATTTTAGAGAGGAAAAGAGGGAGAGAGAGAAAGAAACATCAATGATGAGAAGGAATCACTGATCAGCTGCCTTTTGCACACCCCACACTGGGTATTGAGCCCGCAACTCGGGAATGTGCCCTGACCAGGAACCAAACCATGACCCTTCTAGTTCATAGGTTGATGCTCAATCACTAAGCCACACCCCCTGGGCCAAAATGTCTTTATTGATTGCAATCATAAGGCATGACAGTCTCTCCAGTGTTTATTGTATGTTGTTGGCACATGTGGGGGTGTCTGGTCAGAATCTGTTATAATAAACTGTAATAAGGAGATGTTTTTTACTATGGATTTTATTTTATTTATTTATATTTTAAAAATATTTATAGTTGAGAGTATTACAGATGTCCCCCCTCTTCATCCCTGGTGAGGACCAGCTACAACTACAGTGGGAGAGTTGTGCAGGAAACCCACCTATAGAGTAGGCTTTGGTGCTCACTGAGTCTGCCTCTTTTGTGTGTTGCTTGGGATGCAGAGTTGTCCACCAGGTTCACTGGTTCTAGGGCCTCCAGGGAAGTGCAAAGTCATACACTACCTGGGGCCACCTGGCAGGAGCTATAGAGAGATCTGCAGATGGCTGCTATTTGTATTGGGCTTGGAAGTGCCCAGGTGAGACCCAGCTGTGAAGCAAGGCAGGCTTGTGCTAGTGCCAGGTCTTGGACCCTTTCTGATAGGTTTGGGGTATGCTAAGATCAGCTGCAGTTTGTTTGAGAGATTTTAGCAAAGACTAAAGCCTGATCCAGAACAGGCCATTCATATAGAAAACTTGTTACAAGCTTGGGTGGGGCAGGATCTCAGGGAATTATCAGGGTGGTGCAAATAGTGTGAGCCAGGCTGGTGGAGACTTGGATATGGCCCCTTCCAGTCAGCTCTGTGACAGGGGAGGTCCCATCTTGGGAACAATGACCCCTGAGAGCACCCCCATCTGGGAGAAAGCTGTGCTCTTATTCCTGCCCCCATACCAGATAATCCAGCTCCTCCCTGTATGTGTCTAGGTCCCCCAAACCCACCCAGCACTGGAGCTCAGAGGGATTGAGTCTGACTAAGTCTGTATGCTGGCCCTTTAAGAGGATCTTCTGGGATTCCAGTAGCCTCCGTGTCCCGCAGCCACAATTCCTGCTTGTTTTTACAGCCTGAAGTTACAGAGAGTTCTCTTCCCAGCTCTGGGGCTCTGGGCTGGGGGACTGGTGTGGGGCTTGAACCCCTTGCTCCTCATGGTGGCCTCTGCAGAGAGGACTTGCCTCCTGATTAAAAACAAAACAAAACAAAACAAAACAACAACAACAAAAAACACAAAAAAAGCACATGTGGGTGTTGGAGCAGCCTGTCCCATGCCTCTGCCCCTCCTACCAGTCTCAATGTGCTTTCTTCTTTATTTCTCTATTTGTAGGACTTTCATTCAGCCAGCTTTCAGGCAGTTCTGAGTGATGGTTTCTATGTGTTTTAGCTGTAATTTTGATGTGGTTGTGGCAGGCAGCACATACCAGCATTTACCTATGCCTTCTCTTTTTAACAAGGATATTCTTATCTGAAGAGATCATACACCTGGATGTTCTTTCTGCTTCAATAGATCTTTCCTTATTTTTTGTGCCTGGCATACTTCTCTTATCTTTCAATATCCAGCTCAAATGGGAACCTTTTTTTCCTCCATTGATTTTTAGAGAGAGTGGAAAGGAGGGAGGGGGTGAGAGAGAATCACTGATGGGAGAGAGACACATTGATTGGTTGCCTCCCACACACACCTTGACCCGGGCTGGGGATCAAACCTGCAATCCAGGTATGTGCCCTTGACTAGGAATGGTGCTCAAGCCAAAATTCTAAGCACTGAGAACATTGGCCAGGGTAGATGTAAACAATTTTTCACAGTTTTCCTCAAATCTTCTGCAGCAGTTTATTTCTCCTTCAATCATCCCTCCCCAATCTGGCAGAGTTCAGCAGTCCTCCCTCCCTCTTGTGTCAAGTAATTAGAGGTCACACCCCATGCCACTTAAAGGGGGCAGATTGTCCAGAGATCATAGTAGGAACAATATAGATTGCATCATTGGTCCTAATTGTTTCTGAGGAGCTGCTGCTTCTGCTGCCTGTGTCCTCAATCCCCAGCCCACCTCTGCTTTCAGCAGCCTCTTGCTGGACAGCTCCCTGTGCTCAGTCACTAGATGTGGGGCTGGTGGGAAAAGGTGCTCATCTCAGGCATGATGGGGTGCTGCAGCTGAGGCCAGTCTGGGAGGAATTATAGCTGCAGGCTTCTTGCTCTTAACTGGGGCAAGTCCTTCACTGAAGAGAGGCTTAGCTGGTACAGCTTGGCATTTGTCCCCAAAGACCAGGGGAGTATGTGCAGACATAGAGATGTGACTGGCCAAAGTCCACAGGGGGCTTCCACTGTGTGCGTTTTACAGTGTGGCTGATTGCGGGAGAGCATTGAGGAGATATCTGTGGTCCTGGCAACCCACGTAAAAGGCCTCCTCCAGGAGGGGCCAGCTGCAGAGCTGCGGTGACTAAGGTCCCTCTGGTAGGTCTGTGGGCGTCTGGAAGTCTGTGTGATCAGAGAGGATGGTTAGTTAGAGGCACAGTTACTTCTTCCTGCACAAGAATGAGCTGCCAGCGGGGGCCAGGGTTGGGTGGGACAAAAAGACAGCTCCTCTGAGCCGGTGTGGGAAGGTTGGGTATATTTTATGATGATCTAAACCCAATTCAAGACTTCCTGACATCTCTTCGCTGCACTCCCGCCGTGGCCAGCCACTGTGCTGAGATTGAGTTCTTCTAAAACCATATTTATGTATTTTATTTTGGAATCATTTTCAATTTACAGCAAAATTGAAAAGATGGAACAGCGAGTTCCCACGTACCCCTCATCCTGCTTCCTCAGTGCTAACGTGCTGCATCATCGTGGTGGCTTTGTTACAGCTAAGGAACCCATGCCAGCACAGCGCTACTCACAAACTCCACATTTCACATTGATTTCACCAGCGTCCCCTTCCCTCCCTGTCCCAGGAGCCCCTCTGAGACCCACACTGTGTTACGTTGTCATGTCCTCGGCAGTGCTTCCAGGGCGAGGGAGTTTCTGTTTTTTCTTGGTTTTTATGAGTTTGAGAGTTTTGAGCAGCACTGGCCAGATACTGTGACGCGGCCTCTCTGTCAGTTTGTCTGATGTTTCTGGGGAGCTTGGGGTCATGGGTTTCTGGAAAGAATACCACAGAGGTGATTCGCCTTGTCATCACCTCATATCAGGGCACAAGACATTCACATGATATCACTGGGGTGCTGCCAGGGCCACCTGCTAAGAGGGGTGTCTGTCATTGAGTTTTGACTATTTGTCTGGATCGAGAGATCTTAACATTTTTATGTAAATTTATTCTGGAGTTTAAATCCCTACTTTTGCTCATGGAAGGGACAAGGTATGCAGAAAATATTAATTCTGTTTTTCCAACTCAGTGTCCAAATATTTTTTAACACCATGCATTGGTAAATGTTTATTTCCCAATTAATTTTAAGATTTATTTTTACTCATACTCTAGATTTCTAATATTTTTATGCTTGCAAATCCCCATTTCTTTACATTTTTTATTGAGCTATACATACTAAAACATTAATGATTTTAAGGCATACAATTCAGTGGTCTTTAGCACATTCACAAAGTTGAGCAACCATCACCACAATCTAATTCCAGACCATTTTCATCACCCCAAAGAGAAACCCAAGCCCATTCACTGCCAAAGAGAAACCCCTCATTCACTACCTCCCTTAGCCTCTGGGGACCCTGACCCACTTTCTGTCTCTTCATGACGGTAAAAAATACTCTCATCGAGCCATGTTTAGCTTTTGAATCTCCCCAAAGCCTCCATTTTCTTACGTTCTCATTTTTCAAATTCAAAAACAAACAAAATACCCCCAACAACTGGAAATATTCCCCTTTAAAATTCAGCATAAAAATTGTAAGAACATTTAAAATAACACACCAGCAAATCTTTTCCTCTTCATCCTTTAAATGCCCAGGAGAGCTTCTGAATAGAGAATGAGTCATTTTGTTTTTGAACACTCCAGTGCCAGGAATAGGTCAAGGTTGTGTGTGTGTGTGTGTAAAAATGCGTGCGTATAGAACATTATTTCTTTGATTCTACTGGATCATCTTTTCGTGAGTGGGGCTGTGCTGATATGGGTTCTTTAGCTCTAACAAAAGCACCAGGGTGATATAACATATTAATACACCAGTTTGCTCCTCCAAGTCCATTTTCCTGTGGTTGATTCACAAATTGCAGCAACTGAGTCAAATTAACAATACAAGGCAGGAGTCTCCTGAGCGCAGAAGACAAAGGGGTCTGCATTGCTCCACGTTCTTCCAGGTGCCACCACGCCTGGTTGAAGGACCAGATGTAATGAGTAAAAACACCCTCCATGGTGTCCACACTTAATCTCTGTATGATTATTTATTCATTATGGTTGGCACTATTACAGATGTCCCTCAATTTCTCCCCTTTGCTTCCCTCCACCCAGCCCCCCGCCACCCCTCCCCTGGCCTTCACCACTCCTGTCTGTGTCCGTGGGCTGTGTGTACATGTTCTTTGGCTCATCCCTTCCAGTCCCTCACGCCCCCTCCTCTCTGCCATCTGTCAGTCTGTTCCATGCAGCCATGCCTCTTGTCCTATTTGTCCATCAGTTCATTTTGTTCATCAGATTCCACACGTAAGGGAGATCACATGATATTTGTCTTTCTCTGGCTGCCTTATTTCACTTAGCATAATGCTCTCCAAGTCCAACCAACAAACAAGTGCTGGCGAGGATGCGGAGAGAAGGGAAGCCTCATGCACTGCTGGTGGGAATGCAGACGGTGCAGCCACTCTGGAGAACAGTGTGGAGTTTCCTCAAAAAACTAAGAATGGAGCTGAAACCAGTTTGGCTCAGTGCATAGAGCGTTGGCCTGCAGACTGAAGGGTCCCGGGTTGGATTCTGGTCAAGGGCATGTACCTTGGTTGCGGGCACATCCCCAATAGGGGGTGTGCAAGAGGCAGCTGATCGATGACTCTCATCGATATTTCTAACTCTCTATCCCTCTCTCTTCCTCTCTGTTAAAAAAAAAATCAATAAAATATATATTTAAAAAAATTAAGAATGAAATTGCCTTTTGATCCAGCAATCCCACTTCTAGAAATATATCCTAAGAAACTAGAAACACCAATCAGAAATAATGTAATGCAAACCCTATGTTCATAGCAGCACAATTTACACAATCTCAATATTTATTTTAAAAATACAAATATGTTTTCCTGGTTAAAACAATCACCCTTAGCACGTTACAGTTGCATTTCTTTCATTAATCTCAAAATCGCGTGCCCATAATGTCCCTAGCTCTTCCGGCTTCCTTTGCCAGTTGACCTTTGAGTCCCGTGTTCCCAGCGCTGC